GCACCCGCTCTGGGATTCCTAGACTCTCCAATCTTAATCTTGCTAGGCTTGCAACATGTTGCAACTCCTAAAATGTTGGTCATGCGTGAATGGTACATGTAAACTCAGGTGCTGTCATTGTTTCTGGCACACTCTTCTTTGGCGTTGCAGATAACTGGCTGCGTGGAAGGGATGCCTTTTCCATGTTTGATGGTGACCTTGCTGCATTTGTAGACAATAGCACACTAATGAGAGAATGCAAGTCTGTGTACGCAGACTGTGCAGGAACAGCGGTTGCGCAAACAAACAGCAACACCACCAAGACTGAGGAAGCAACACCACCAAGTCAAAATGTGGAGGAAGCAGAAGAGAACCCATGAGGAACGAAAGCAAAATCCGCCCGCCCCGAAGGTGCCGAGGCGTTGTGGAGGCTCGCGCAAACCGCAAGAAATCTGCTGCTGCTAGATTAAATCCTAAGCTTTAACTTGGGGGGGGGCAGTTTGAGTTACGAAATGCTGTGTTTTGCAGTGTTGTTTGAAGATTTATTAATATTTATTACACAAAATGATATGGTTTTGGACCAAACGTTGGCGATGCTGGTTAATCCGCTTGGCAGAAATCGCGTTATCGATATCGCTGACGCATGTGCAACCTGGGGACACTGCATCGTTGACATCATGGGTGTGTTCATCCGTGTGTCCTGCCCAACCGAAACACAGACTGACAGACCGAGATAGACAGACCGAGACAGACCGACTGAGACAGACAGAGGCCGAGACAGACAATTGACATCGTGCGTGTGTTCGTCCGCGTGTCTTGCGCGACCGAGACAGACAGATTGACAGACCGAGAAAGACAGACCGAGACAGAACCCTCTGTGAAAAGGCTGGTGGCTAGATAGGGCCATAGCGACCGAGAGCCCAAGTTGCTAGTTCCCGGCTCCGCGAGCGCAGGTTGCTGCCGAGCCGGTAGGGTGATAATTACACAATTACACACGTTTCCCATGTATGTCTGGATGTGTGCTTGCATGTATGTATGTATGTATGTATGGATCGATGTTTGTGTCTGTTTGTGTGTGTCTGTTTCCCCTTTACTCTGTGCGGGCGGCTTAGACCGCGAAGCGGTGTGAATATACAACTTATATAACTTATATGTTGAATTAGACGTGCAAGTCGCAGGCTTTCTATATCTCGAGGCTTACTGCTTGATTGAGCCTGACTGAGGCTTGTATTTTTCTGTCGCTGGAGCATCATCGGTGGGTATGCAGGGCTTCTCAGATCCCCAACAGACTAGCAGCACTTGCATGCTCGCTTGAGTGTGAGTATAGGAGAGGAGGTGGGGCCCTATGCCTCACAATTGCATATGTTGGCCTACCCAGCTGGTTTGTTCGTATTTGTTTGTACCGGTATCTCAACCTTTTTGGCAAACTTTTCTTCGCCTCTCAATCTCCCCACTCAAACTGACATTGTCAGTGCAGCTGCCTCCAGTCCAGGTAGTTGACATTTAGTACAATTGCAGCATGCCAAAAATAAAGACAAAAGGCTGAGATCAACACATCCCCTGCAACTCAAGGTCTACCATCGTTGCAGATTGGATGATTGCATGAAGTCGGTAATGTTGTTGTCATGTTCCGTTGTTTTGCCCATGCTAAGCATTGGCAATCTCACAGTGCAGTGTCAATGCTGTTGTTCTGGACATGTTTGTACCTTGTGCTGATCATTTTTTCGCCCCAAGGTTAGGAAACGTGGCAGCAATCACTTCAGTCGAGAAGGCCCGATTTGGACTGCATGGTTTGGTGGACCATGAGCCTACAGACCGTTTGCTTGTGAAGCTGTACTTGTGAAACGAGTCCGAAAGGTGGCCTCCATGGGCCTGTTTTGCTATGGATGCTACAGTTGCGTGGCTCTTTCGGCGGCGAGAGAACCTTTCGACGTGCCGTCGGTGCCAACCGAGACGGCCCAAGGTTTCAATCGATTTATGATGTTTGCCTCAGAGGCTGGGTTTTGCTTGCCTTTGAATGAATAGTGTTGTTTGGCAACGCCCCGAAGGTATTTGCATACAAGGCCGCAGCTGCTAGGTATGTGGAACAACGAAGAGAATGCACTTGTATGACTTTGTATGCGCTTGTATGGGTTTTGCTTCTCAGTGAATCATGGACAGATTGAGAACTCTCAGAACATCGTGGCCGTTCTGCCACCAGGACTGTTCTGTCATGCATGTGAAAAACATTGAAAGACAGTGCTGTCATTCGAGTTTGGAGATGTCACATGTTAAAACATGTTAAAACAAGAAGGTTTTCTTCGACTTGTTTGTGGATGCAAAAAGTGTCAACCAGGCTTTGGGCACAAACTCCAGCGACTCCGGAAGGGAAACTCAGCCCTTTGGCTCCAAAGTTGGCAAGTGTGGCTAAATAAGAGTATATATTATATATAATGTGTTGCTTATTGTTTATAGAGGTTATATATATATATATATATTTAGCCCGGTAGCTAGTAGCTTTACTACCTACGGACGCAGGATAGCTCACCCTTCTTCACGGGGGAAGCTTCCTTGAAGAAGCGCTCGCACTATTCATGTGGTTCTTAGATTTTTTTTGTTTATTTAATTAAACCTATAGTAGTTCATCAGTTCGTACAGGGATTCGACTCATATCCATGTTGCTCTTATCAAGACTCTTTGTTCACTAAATTTCAGTAATCAAACCAAGGCCGGGATTTTTGTTGGAATGTGAACATGTTGCAAGGCACCAGAACCATCGCACACAACTGCCCCAGGAATACAGATGACCGGACATATCAAAACAATGGGTTGTTATGTACACAGCAAGTGGATGTAAGCAGCTGTTCTAATGAATCTGATTTTCTGACTACCTTTAGCCTGTTTCCTTCCCGTTTTGTCGATTGGACAGTTATCAATATGGTTTGTTTTGTAGAATGCGCTCAGCACTCGTGCTGCAGGTTTCACCAGGCTTCGCTATTGGAGTTCTTGACACATGCAACACTTACGTAGAACTTGGATATTACAATGGATTCTTACTCATTACGGTTTCCATGGTTGTCCTATTCTGTTCATCAAAAAATCATGTTGTCACGATTGGTGTTATAAAGTTTTGAGGCGAGAGATGTCTCTCGCATTGCTTCTGTGTCGACTGCTGAACAGGAGGCGACAAGTGATGTTTGCATGATTTTGCATGTGTTGTTTTATAATCGGCTGCTTTTCTTAACATGCTGTAGCTTGTGTGTGCGTGTCCACAGGAGTTTCCACCTTCCAGTCCAGCTGCTCAAAGGACATCAAGATCGTCAAGGTGAAGCACTGACTGCAAACACCTTCAAACATCTTCAAACTCTCTCAAAATGCAATCCCGAACGAACTCTTGCACAATACTACACATGGGCTGCGCATGTATGTGTACCAGATTGTACCAGTGTAAGAGGACGCGTATGGCAAACATGTCACATGTAATCGTTAATAGTCATTGATTGTTCCAGGGATTTGCCGTGATTTAACCTTGGCCACTCAAACACGAGTGTGATCGAGTGTGGCTGCCCTGTGAAAGTCTTTTGCTCAGAGGCCTTCGAGGCAAAACGTCACAACTCTCCCAGCCCCAACTGCTGAGGTCGACTCTTGACTCTGATTCAATCTTTTTGAAACGGAACTGGACTCGTTTTAAGTGTTGCTTTTATGTGTTCCAATCTACGTGTCACATCTCTAATTCCAAACGTATGAACAAGGAGGAAGAAGGCCAAGAAGAAGGCGTTGCTGCTTTTTGGACGCAGTCGTTTGCAATGCATAATTGTTGCAAGTCGTTACACTTCAGAGCATGTGAGATGGCATGAGACAAGTTTTATTGTGGGTACACGGCTGAAGCCACTTCACAGAGTCCTGCTTTTGCCAAATAACTCTCCACAGTGGATTCAAGTGATGTTGATATTCTTGTCAGTAACCATGTCGAAACATGAGTTTCAACAGCAATCCACTCAGTCACCACTGAGCATACTGAAACACCTCCTGCTGGAGACGCCAGGATCCCTGTGAAGGAGCTGAAGCCACAATTGCCAGAGTGGATGGGATGATCTCTTCAAAGAAAGAAGGACAACAGATCAAGAACTGTTCACGAGGGACATTGGATGACAAAGCTTCAATAGCCCCTAGCTTTGCTCAACAAGATCTGAAGGGGAAGACTGAAGTTGTCAACCTACCCTCCTCCAACAAACATGGAAGTGGACAACCCCCTGTTTGTGGAGAAACATCGTTCTTCCAGTGGTCATGATCGACTTCCATCATTGTCGGAGGGAGGGAAAGTGATATATACACTGTATATTTGCAATTTTGTTCTAAGTTCCAGAGTCTTAGGGGAATTGAAGTACAATATATATGTAGAAGTAGCATTTTCTTCACACCTAACGCAGTTTTGATGTCTTGAGATTGGCATTAAAACTCCATGTAAAAGTCACCTCCCATGTGGCAGGACCATTTACTGGACTTAAGAGGATGCTGCAGCCTACAGCTGATGCATGCTGATGCCTATGATTCACAAGCACAAAGAGTACAAAACAATTGCGCATTTGGAGATTTCCGTGGAGGTTTGAACAAAAACGCTTTCAGTTGCTCAGCTACTCATTTCATACGGACACTGTCACAACAGCTATGAATGAAGCCCTGAGATAGAAATTCTATCAGAGAGACAAGTGCGTCGTTGTTCTTGTTTCTCCTCTTCAGATCTTTATGTATAAACTATATTCAATATGCATTCTTGTTTTGTTTGCTTCATGTTTGGCCGGCGGCTGTGCATCGAGAATCCTCTTCTTTGCTGTCCATCAAGTCCCAAACCGGCTTGAGCATATCCAGCACCAGTGCCTTGCGTGAGACTGATGTTTACAATTAAGCAAAGCCGACAAACGCATGGACATGATGATTGAAGGTTGCTACTCTTTCTGTGTGCAACACGAACAAGAAGATACGCAACGGATTCGTGGACCAGCAGAGTAGATGTCCGAAGACAACAGACACAGCAGGAACATCTTATTGAAGATACCACGGCTCACCTGATTCTTTCGGCAATGTCCAACCAAGGCAATCTGCTTGTACAACTGAACTATGACTTATCGTATCATTGTTGTTTTTTCTTTTGTCCATTCCTCATAGATCCAACTCTTTTCTTGGTCAGGTCAAGAACACGAGGAAGAAGGCGAGCATCAGGTGTTTCTTTTTGGTGAACAAAGAGTTGACAAGACTGCAGAAAGCATGAGAACGGTTCAGAAGCTAGTAGTAACAAGTGCATCGCTACTAGTAACAGGTGCCTTACTAGTAGTAACAAGGTTCGCTACTAGAAACAAGTGCCTAAGAGTACAGTCCTGCGAGTTCCGTAGATTTTGCAGGCGCCACTGCAAGCCAACCCTTGGAGAATACAGGCAGCGTGGTAGGGTTGGGTGGCTTGTGGTGGCTTCATATCAGACGCAGTCTTAGCAGGAGAGGCTGAACGGAGTGAACGCACGGAGCACCAACGAGCCAAGGACTGTTGGGCTCGGCTATGCTCGGTTGGGCTATTGTGGGTTGTGTGATGTAACTAAATCTTCACGGCACCTCAAGGCACCTGTATGATTTTGCCTCATGTGAACAGTTCCCCCCTAGTATTCCGCACATGTCCCCAAACGCGAAAAATCAGCGTGTCAAAAACTATCTTTCCAAGTGCACTCAGTACCTTGCCAGGATGTTTTCCTGCGAGAGTCCTTCTATGCATGTACTGGTCCTGGTATGCCCTTATTTTTTTTCAAAGCTGGATTCACAACGGAATCTTCCCCTTTCTTGCACTTCCGGTGGAAGATTGAGAAACAGGAAGTTCTTGACCTGCAGCCACTCTTTATCATTCTTTATCTATTTGTTCCGTGCCTGCAACTCCGCTGGGCTTCTTTGGAAGACCTTGCAAATCTGTAATCAGCCAAAGAGACTTAGCAGCCTTTGGCCAGCAAAGAGCATCATCAAAGTAAAATCATGACGTAATAATGTTCTCTTATTTTTCCCCCCAGGGGCCCTGCGTATTTTGAAGTAGCGCACACACACACACCACATGGAATCATGATATCATTACCCCCGACCCATCCCCCCAGTGGCCCTGCGGGTAATGTGGAAGCACCGCAATTACTAACCAGACAACATTTACATGACATGCAAAACGACAAGCGTACGGTGGTGACGGGCGTGACACCAATGACAACGATGAGACTCTGATGATATCAATGACAACCTACCTGATGAATAGCACGACAAACACAGCAGAATCACAACAAGCAACTGCACGAAACCACAATAAACGGAACGAAACCACCTTGCGACTGAGAGTACCACCAGCAGCTAGCTAGATTGCCCAAAACCAATCCCATTTGATTGATCTTGATTGAGTTGATTCATGGAAGCTCTGACACTGCAAGCTTGGGTACTAGTTTGTCTCGAACTTTGTCATATGCTGTGCGACTCCCCAGAATCGTCAGGGTGGTGGCCGCAACCGAGGAAAAGGCTCACAGCTGCTTTCAGAACTCCGTGACATGTCAGTGTGATATTCTGTTGACCTGAGTGGAGGCCAAAGTCGAGCTGCTGGAGGTCATGGTGGCGGTGGATGGGGAAATTGGAAATCGCAAGGCGTCACATGGGCATGGTCCAGCATGGACTGATCATCCACCAAGCATGGATTCACTACCCGCCGCTGTATGTAGTAAATGGACACCACTACCCTTGACATCCCTTGACTATGAAGCATCAGCCCATTAACTTTATATCAGCTTACGGGCTTATAGTATTAATTTGCCCCTTGAATCTACAAACAAAAGAACATTCTTCAGTAGACATCCACATTCCGTGATTACGGCTCTATGATGTATCATTATGTGTATGTATATATATATATATCATGTTAGTTTGAAAGGATCCATATCATTGAGGTAATGCGGAGAGAAGGTGGTTTTAGGCTTTGGCCTCCGAACGAAATGGGTTCCCAGAGCGAAATTCAACTTGACATTTTACCTAATCTGTTTCTTGCAGCTTTCAGTTTTGCAGCTTTCAGCTTAACAGGCGGCAGCAAATCACATCGCAGTGGCCCTGGCAACATGCATGTAGACGGTGCTGCTGCCTTTGACGTTCTCTCAGGGCCAATATTGATCCTCGGAGACCCTCCGCAGGCGGGACCAGAACAGGTGGCATGGTGAGTTAAGGGGATGGTTCATGCCACGGAAGAGGCAAATTAACCATACTTCTGGTAGTATAGATGCCCAATATGTGAATATTTAGCCCCATGAAATGTTGACCACCTGACTCTTGACATGAGTATGTTTGGCAAATACCTTTCACTTAAAAATCTTTGCTCCATGTCCCCAGCGGTACCGAGGTGTGTGTGTGTGTGTCAAACCCTGTTCCTAAGGGCTGGTTCCTTTTGTTTTGGTTTTCAAGCAGGGGGCTCACGGGTCTGTTCCTGGCGTGAGCCAACGAAGCTCCAGGTTCAGACTAGGATATCGAAAGAGGACGCTCTTTCGACGTACCTGCGCTCAACTTTTGATCAATCTGTCCAATTGGATCGGTTTGTTTACATGGTCCTTCATGCTACCACCCCCAAACAGGTTTCCCTCCGCTTTGCAGCCGCTGATCGCCGCTTTTACTTGAGCTTGCTGTGAAACTTTTGTTAAACAATAGTTTTCTGCGGACTCATGCACCTTTCTGTTCCCTCGCCTTCCTTCTCGACTTGGAAGCCAATGTCAGAGTGTGAACCGCTCAGCCGTCCCACTTGGGTGCTGGGTGTGATCCCCGTCACTGGGGCGCTGAATTCATGCTGGAAATCGTGTAACGGATTTTTAGTCTCCTTCGTTCTGTGGATTTTCTTAACTGCCTTAGTGTCACCACTGAATTGCCTGAATCATGAGCCGCCGGGCTTTCACGGAAAGAATCACTTTGCTTCATGTTGAATTAGCCGCCGGGCTTTCACGGAGAATAAGCCCAGACGTGCTTCTACCCCAAACACCCCAACCCCTCCCCCCCACTAATTAGGGTAACAGAGGGAAATGGTACTCGACACACTTGTGTGTCGGTGCCTTTCCCTCTGTTGTCCCTTTCTAGTCTACTCTACCCGGGCGGTCTAAGACTAAAGTCCCGCTCCCTAACTATTGCGCTTGATTCATTTCTGCTAAGTAATCAGTAACTCTAGAGTGCTAAGTATTCAGACACACACACACATGTACACACACATGGACATACACCCCATCCCTGCCCCCCGCTTTCCTTCTTGCGTTTTTCGTCGTTTGTTGTGCTTTCTTTCAGGCTTTTAGGTGTTTCTTGAGGCTCGTTTCCCTACCCCAGCCAAGGGCTAAGTATTCACCTTTTGCGTCACATGTGCGCCGAAAACGGCCATGTGTGTGTGTGTGTCAAACCCTGTTCCTAAGGGCTGGTTCCTTTTGTTTTGGTTTTCAAGCAGGGGGCTCACGGGTCTGTTCCTGGCGTGAGCCAACGAAGCTCCAGGCTCGGACTAGGATATCGAAAGAGGACGCTCTTTCGGACTTACCTGCGCTCAACTTTTGTTCAAGCTGTCCAATTGGATCGGTTTGTTTACATGGTCCTTCATGCTACCACCCCCAAACAGGTTTCCCTCCGCTTTGCAGCCGCTGATCGCCGCTTTTACTTGAGCTTGCTGCGCACGAAACTTTTGATTGCGTCGGCAGTGCGGTCCCTGATTTGTCCGCCGAAGACGCGGAGCTTCACAGCGTGCCTGAAGACGCGGAGCTTCGCCCGAAGACGCGAAGCTCCGAAGACGCGGAGCTTCGGAGCTTCAGCCGAATGACGCGAAGCTCCGAAGACGCGGAGCTTCAGAGCTTCAGCCGAAGAC